TGCCTTGATGTCAGGGGATTTGTTCGTACATTGTGTTTTGCTATCCCTCGTTCTCTAATTTCTGTTCTACTCTTCTATTGTTCTATATGTAAATTTATATGTAGCATTATTTAGTGCTAAGGAATGATCTGTGTTTCCGCCTTGTTTACTACGTGCCATGCAGGTGGTAAGTGGGTTAACATATCCGTTTTGTGATAACTGATTATGTAATAATATTAAGTTATCAGGATTTGATTGTATGTAGCCACCCCCCAAACCTGTTATCTTAGCCTTGCTTGGTGTATCTCTCTCTCTCTCTCTCTCTCCTCTCTCTCTCTCTCTCCTCTCTCTCTCTCTCTCTCTCTCTCTCTCTTCTCTTCTCTTCTCTCTTCTCTTCTCTTCTCTTCTCTCACACACACACACACATTGCATCTCTCTAATAGGTTTCAGGAGTGTACAAACAATTTAAGTGCTGTGATGCTTTTCCCGCATCCTACATGATAAATGCATGTTTGAATTTTTATTATATATTTAAAGCGTTAAATTTTCCTTAAGATTGTTTACATGTCAGCTTCTCTGTTCCTCACGAGCGTCTGAGCACTGTATTAAACCATCACCAAATTCGACCAGCTAACAGTGGACGACCCTACAAAGAAACTATAAGGGTTACTGTTACAAAGTCACAATTCATGGTGAGCATAGGATGGAGTTGCTAAGTCCAACAACCACTGAAAGTCTAAGCCTTGTTATCATCACCTGTTGATGATTTTCATGGGGGCCCTTCATCGGGGTACCTGGTGCTGATGATGTGTAGAAAAAACTGTGAGATTTTGACTATTTAAGAAACCTTCATCAGTTCCCACCTTGGACTGTTTTTACAGCAGTCAAATGCTGTATGTGATTAAGAGGACGGAACTGTGGGCTTAACAGCCAAGAACCTATATAGACATCTTGCCGGAGGGCGCCTTTACTGGGAAGGGAAAGGAAGAATTTGACGTTGAGCACCTCGTAAGAAAATTAACATAGCAAAATCAGAATAGGTGTGTCTGTGTGTGTGTGTGTGTGTACTCACCTAGTTGTACTCACCTAGTTGAGGTTGCAGGGGTCGAGTCCAAGCTCCTGGCCCCGCCTCTTCAATGGTCGCTACTAGGTCACTCTCCCTGAACCATGAGCTTTATCGTACCTTTGTGTGTGTGTGTGTGTGTGTGTGATAAACACATAAGGTTTTATCAGGGGGGGTCCGTGTGAGTCTCAGTCCGGCGGTGACCCGCTGAAAATAGGTGGTGTTTCGTCTGTGCTCGTGTTGTAACCCACACTGCTGGTGTCACCCGCTGATGTAATAGTGCCAGACATGTCACACTCAAAACCTGCAGTTAGTGTTACTCGGTGACGTGTCACACTCGTATGTCACTCGTGTCACCCGCGGATGTCAGGTGACAGCCACTAGGCAGCTTAATCCGCTTAATGGCGCCAGTTTTGCCTTGTCAACCTGGTCTGTATTTTGGTCTAGGTATTTTGATATCAATGTTGCAACATTACTTTCTACTTTGCTTGTTATCTGCCGTTGAAAATTGAACATGTAAATATCATTATGAAAGGGGATTTCAGTTACAAAGAAATTCATACATCTATAAATGTACCATGAAAGCATCTGGGGCTGTGAAATGAGATTAGGGTCACAGTTGGTGCCACTGATACAACCAAGTCATAGTAGTAAAAGTATCGTATTGTAAGCTCCGGGGCTGAAGGGTTACTGTGTTGGGCCTGGTATGTACCAAGGCCACAGTTCGAGCCCCCGCCGGTTTTCTGTTTATTCATTGACAATCGCAGACAGGCGATCCTAACAATGCAATAAAAACACGTTTCCATGCACCATTAGGAGCTGTGCAATGTTGCAAGAGCAACAACAGATAGATTGAGGGGAAGTTTTCTCAGAGGAAAGGTAGCGTCTTGATGCTGTCTTGTTCCGACTCACACTGAGCCTCCAAGCTGATATAAACCAAGTCTTCCAATGGCTGAGTGACAACAACATGATGTGGAACAGAACAGCATCAACATGCAACCTTTCCTCTTAAGAAAACTTCCCCTCGATGTACCTGTTGCTCTTGCAAGATTGCATAGCTACTGATGACTCGCGGAGTCGTGTGAAAGATCTTGAGCTGAAGCTTTCCATCCTCCCGTGGTTTGTCTAGCACGTTAAGATCACCTTTCTGCAGTTGTATTCGCAAATGGGCGAAATAATTTACAAACATAATCTCTCAGTCCACAGCAGGATTCGAACCTGTACACTGTACATCAAAGTGCTGTTTGGCAAAAGTACTGCGTGTGCAGGTTCGAATCATGTTGTGTACCGAGATATATATATATATATATATATATATATATATATATATATATATATATATATATATATATATATATATATATATATATATATATATCGTACCGAATAGGTAAAACGTCAATTAGCATGAACTCATTTAAAATTAAGTCCTTTCTAAAATTTTCTCTTATACGTTTAAAGATATTTTTTCACTTATGTTAATGTAAAAATTAATAATTTTGTACCAAAAGAACCTTAGAAAACTTACCTAACCTTTTTATAGCAAGCGCAATTTAATTTAGCCTAATCCAAAAGAATATATTTTACATAAGTTTACAGTAATTTAATAATAAATAAACACAATGAAATATATTTTTTTCGTTAGGTTCAGAATGATTTTTGCGAAGTTATTGCATACACAAATTTTCGCTTGCCTTATTCGACAAGAAGAGCGTTGCTGTTTAAGCCAAAACCGTAAGTTTTACCTATTCAGCAAGACATATATATATACACGTATTATATATGGATTTTCTTTATAGTATTTACTTAGGTTTTATGTTTTGTTTTCGAATAGGACCAAAAAAAAAAAGGCGTAGCCTACGAAGGGGTTCTCGTGTGTGTTCCGTAGCCTTGATAGTGGCTACATTGTGGGATACTCCGGATACCCCCTTGATCTACTGCTACCTCCATCACTACCAACTCTATTTCAACCACCAACAATAGCAAACACCACTTACACCACCAAGAGGAGTACTGACACCACAACCCTCAAGATCACCACCATCGTCTCTATCTGCAGCATCTCTTCGCCACTAAAATGAAGGTGCCAATAGATACCGCCTCCATCAATGTTGGAATTCTGGGTCTGGCCTATATGTTCGTCTTTACCTCCTTCCAGACGCAGGGTAACATGCAGGTAAGGACGAGTTCTTAAGATTGTGACTTCATTGTGGCACCTGACTGTAAGTCATTGTAAATATTTAAGTGTGGTTTAAGGCAAGATCATTTGGAAATGTACTCTGCACAACATTTTGTGACTTGTAAATAGTGTAAAGCTCTTTTGTCATGGTTACTCCTATATAATTATGAAAGGCTGTGGTTGCCATGGTTACTCCGTCAACATTAAAGACTGTGGTTATCATGGTTGTTTCATGAGTATGAAAGACCGTGGACGCCAGGGTGACCTTCGCGCCAATATGAAAAGCTTTGGTTGTCATGCTTCAGTATGAGAGACTTGTATTCATGTTGAGCGTGACACTAGGTGTGAGAGACTCTTGTATTCATGTTGAGCGTGACACTAGGTGTGAGAGACTCTTGTATTCATGTTGAGCGTGACACTAGGTGTGAGAGACTCTTGTATTCATGTTGAGCGTGACACTAGGTGTGAGAGACTTGTATTCATGTTGAGCGTGACACTAGGTACACAAATAACCAGCACATAAAAGAGAGAAGCTTACGACGACGTTTCGGTCCGACTTGGACCATTGACAAAGTCACACTGTGACTTTGTGACGGTGTGACTTTGTCAATGGTCCAAGTCGGACCGAAACGTCGTCGTAAGCTTCTCTCTTTTATGTGCGGGTTATTTGTGTATCGTTCCAGTCACGGTATTGTGCCTTTTTTTTGTTATTTGTGACACTAGGTGTGAGAGACTTGTATGCATGTTGAACGTCTCGCACAAAGACTGATACGTCACCCATTCCACGTTTCACATTCCTGGCCGCTGCCTCGTTGCCAGACGTATCACTGTTTCTTTTCTAATTTGCTTATTTATGGTTAATATACGTTTTGTATTTTTATGTAGCCTAACCTAACATAACCTAAATTAGCTTTATCTAACTTAAAATAAAGAAAATGCATTGAGATGAGTTGCGCCATTACTCTCATGTCAGTATGAAAGGTTCTGAGTTTGTCATGACTACTCTCATGTCAGTATGAAAGGCTTTGGTTACCATGGCTACTCCTGCATTACTATGAAAGGCTGTAGTTGCCATGGTTGCTCCTGCATTACTATGAAAGGCTGTAGTTGCCATGGTTGCTCCTGCATTACTATGAAAGGCTCTGGTTGACCAATATTGTTCAACAGTAAATGGTCCTGTGTGAAGACGAAATAATAAATATTGCCATTTATTTGACAAGAATGTTTTGTTCTTTTGTTTTGCTGGGAATTTATGGTGATATTCCCAAATATTGGTCACTATAATTATCAAACTTTATAATTTTAATGGATTATGTATTTTTGTTAGCTTTAAGTAATTTCATTAAGTTGTGTGAAGTGCTGCATGTATATATAAGAACATAAGAAAGAAGGAACACTGCAACAGGCCTACTGACCCATGCGGAGCAGGTCCATGTCCCCTCCCCCGGATTAGCCCAATGACCCACCCAGTCTGGTCACCTCCACTCAAGGAAGGAGCACGGCACCAGACACAGCAGCACAAGCTAATCAGGCCCAACTCACACCCGCCCACACCCACTCATGTATTTATCTAACTTATTTTTAAAACTACACAACGTTTTAGCCTGAATAACAGTACTCGGGAGTTTGTTCCACTCATCCACGACTCTATTACCAAACCAGTGCTTTCCTATATCCTTCCTGAATCTGAATTTTTCCAACTTGAAACCATTGTTGCGAGTCCTGTCTTGGCTGGAAGTTTTCAGCACGCTATTTACATCCCCTTTATTTATTCCTGTTTTCCATTTATACACCTCGATCATATCCCCCCCTAATCCTACGCCTTTCGAGAGAGTGTAGATTCAGGGCCCTCAGTCTATCCTCATAGGGAAGATTTCTGATACATGGGATAATCTTTGTCATCCTCCTCTGTACGTTTTCCAGAGCATTTATATCCATTCTGTAATACGGTGACCGGAACTGAGCAGCATAGTCTAAATGAGGCCTAACCAAGGATGTACAGAGTTGAAGAACAACCTGAGGACTTCTGTTATTTATACTTCTAGATATGAAGCCAAGAATTCTGTTAGCTTTATTGCAAACACTAATGCACTGTTGTCTTGGTTTTAGATTACTGCTAACCAGAACTCCTAAATCCTTTTCGCAATCAGTAGTATTAAGATCTACATTATTTAGTTTATATATAGCATGGTTATTTAACTGTCCAACATTTAGAACTTTGCATTTGTCAATATTAAACTGCATCTGCCACTTCTCCGACCATTGCATCAGTCTATTCAAATCATCCTGGAGTGCTCTGGTGTCCTCACTAGAATGAATTGGACGGTCTGTTTTGGTGTCATCAGCAAATTTGCTTATGTAGCTATTTATTCCCTCATCTATGTCGTTTATGTAAATTGTGAACAACAACGGACCCAACACTGACCCCTGAGGAACACCGCTTCTGACGTGCCCCCATTCTGATTTCTCCCCATTTATGCAAACTCTCTGCTGCCTATTTGTCAGCCATGCCTCTACCCAGGAAAAAATTTCTCCTCCTGTTTCGTGTGCCTTAAGTTTCCTCAATAGCCTCTGGTGTGGAACTCTATCCAAAGCCTTACTGAAGTCCATATACACACTATCATATTCATTACCGTAAGACAGGAACGCCCCTTTATAAAACCGTGTTGAGATTCATTAATCAATCTGTGCCTATCAAGATGGCACATCTAGATGTTTCAACTAAATTTTGTTATATTATTATTACTATTATTATTATTAATGCACATTATTTTTATGCATTCATGAGGGAAACGCTAAACCTGTAGGACTTATACAACACTGTCATAGGGAATGAGAATCAGATTCCTTCCAGGGAAAGAGAGGGTAGGTCCAATTCTATGAATCCAGAGCACTTCACCGGCATCAAGGTACATATATTGACAAAGATCATTAAACACTAAATCATTATAAGGTATTCATCACTTCATTAGTTTTCTCAGTTTTTTACTTTTTTCCTTTTCTTTTTTCTTGAGTAGCTTTTAAGTATTTTGAACATAATGTTATATTCTTATTTGAGACCAATAAGTGAACTAATAAAGAACTTGTACATATTTAACACCGTTGCTTTGTGTATTTTTCAGAAGTAAGAAGAGATTAGTGGCACTTTTTATTTTATCTAAATTTAATTCGCTAGCTTTTATTTTTCTTTAAATTTGGCCCACTCGCAGTTCATGGCTACCCAAGTTCATAATAATGTGTTTCATTGTGAAACAGAAGATACCTGTGTTAAGCTTGTTTCATCATGATACGAGCTGCAGGTCTGTTTCACGATTAGCTGACGGAGGATCAATCCTGCACTACTACTTGCACTAAATAAATAACAGTGGTTATACATGACCATAATTTTTAAAGGGGTGGACCGGTAAGCCAGTGGAAGGCCTCGGTCAGATAACCAAAAGCTCCAAAGGCGGGTCATCATCTGACCAAGACCCGCGTCAGGAAACACTTGTCCTGTTTCCTGACGAACCTTACCTAACCTAACCTAACTTGCACTAAATGACCCACACAGGCGTAGCTCTTCATGTAAATACACAGTACATAGTATTATTAATGTTTTAGTATTGTGAAGTATACTGGGACAGGAGACCGAGGATATCACCTGCGATCACTAAAGTAATATAACCACATATCATAGTGTTGTTATATTTATTTATTCTCTTTTTATTATTCTGTTAATTTGTCAGGTAATATTCATGCAAATAAAAATGGATGAATTTGTGCGGTGTTGGCAAGTTCCATAAATCTTCCATGTTAGTGAATAACAATAAGACTTTTTTCACAGTACATAAAACACCAACATTTTTTGTAGAATTTTGTTTACAACACCTGAGGTGCTTCTCTGATTTTTATAATTTTATAATCTGAATAATGGTTTATGTAATAGGGATTTGATGCACAGAATTTTATGTTATTGATTATCGGTTAATACAGTACATATATTTTATATAATTATTCAAATGAGCATGCACTTTTTATTCATCATCCCAAACTGTCCATATTAATTATATTTACGAGGCGAAATGCCATAGAAAAATGACACATATCCTATCATGTAGGCATTCTGAAGTCTTTACTTTTTGCATATTACATTCAGCATTGTAATACCCTGATATACAGTACGTATACCGAAAATTGAAATAACATTGTATGTGCATCCGTTTTTCTACCACCGTGTGAATTTCCAAAAAATAAATTAATACGTAAAAGCAAGCATTCTATAAATATGTAATTTATATCTTTTTAAAGGTCATTGTTATATTCATGGGTAATGCACAGAATCCATAGGACATGGAGGTTATACAGCACCTGGGGAATGGGAGGTAGTAAGGTTCAATCCAAGGAAGAAAAGAGCAGCTCAAAAATCCTTGGATTAAGAACCCTTCGCTAGCATCGAAGTACTTCTCTTGAAGGGAACTTAAGAAAGACCTAACGTAATGAAAAATGTCTTTAGAAAGTATAAATGATCAGTACTTATCACGGGGAGTATACATATTCATTTATAATGTCTTGGGGAAATTAGTTTATTCAGTAGCTTATATTATAAAGGGTTTTACATGTTCAGTTTACATGCCTGGACAATTATCTGTCATGCCAATCAATTATAATGCATGGAGTAAAATACACGTACAAAACAATGTCTTAGAGACGTCATTTAAATATAAACACATTTCAGTAGAAAGGTTTACAGACACACCACCCGGAAGGTACTACCTTTCTCCCTTGACTGTGAAGGAATCTCTTTTTTTTCATGGCAGTTTGCGATTTTTCTTTCCTTCTCAGGCATGTAGCATGCAGGTAAATTTGTAATGCTGTTAATAAATCTATCAAGCTTTTAATCCTTATACTTTCCTCCTACATAGGGGCCGGTGGAAAGAAAAAGCATGGGACCATTAACGATAATAGAAAACAGTCACTAATGTGGGAAAGAAGTACATATACCAAAACTTGTTCAGTCACTTTGTTACCATTAGAAGTATATTACCTACTGCCGTACTTATGTTCCCATTAAGAAGTATAATACATACATGCTCAGTCACTTATTTCCTTTTAAGAGTTATTATACCTTTACATGCTCAGCACTTATGTTACCATTAGAAGTATTATACATAACATGCTCAGTCATTATGTTACCATTAGGCGTACATATACCATACATATTTGTAACTTATATTACCATTAAGAAGTTTACATGTTCAGTCACAATGTTATGGCGAAGTATAATATCACTTATAATGCTATAAAGATACATATGTCCCATATGGAGGAGTATACATTTTCAGACTAATATATGAATGGTATTCTTTTATAAACTTATGTTTTTGTCGTAATTTTGTTCATTCCCCAATGTATGGGATTATAATGTTCTTTTTAATGTCATGGAAGGTATATATGTTCTTTTCACCCTAATATCGCGGGGGGTTATATAGTGATAGTAACATTACACGAAAGTTATGAAGGGAAAGTATAATATTTATATATGTTCAGCCGTAATTGTTGTCTGTTCCATCCCTCATTGTTATTATCTTTATATGCTAATAGAAGTGTCCATTAGCAGTATTAAGCACTGTCATTTGAACAAGGGGGTGAGGACAGTTCTCACAGGTGTTTTTCCACGCGGTTATTTTGGGCTAATGTACGGTGTTGTCATATTTGTAAACAAAAAGTTGCCCTCATAAATAAGATATCATCTTACGAGGTACGAATGGTTAATTTGTTTAACACTTCCTTTTAAATTGATAAATAGCAGATGCATTAATATTAAGTAGGAAAGTTAAACTTCATTGCATAAATCTGTATTAATTCACGAACGGGTGGGGTTTTGAACCCATAACAAGTGGGTCCTAAAACTTGCAGGCGGGGCGCTTTTAACTACTGTAATTAGAAATTGTAATAATGTTGGTTAGAATTCCCGACAAACGTTAGGTTAGAGGACAACTGTAACTATTTGCGACATTTTTTGTGAAACGTTCGCTCTCCGGAGCTTTTTTCACCCGGGCTTGAAGTTCTTGGAAAGCGAAACTTTTCCACAATAAAATGTCCTTTAAATTTTCACTTGTGTTTTTTTTACCAAACATGTATTTAAAACAAATCGGCGATGAGTCTGGCAACGATATGATGTGCTTTAAAAAAGACGCGCTCAATTTGCAAGAATTATCTTCTTTGTGCTGATTGCCTCATGGGGGGTTCCTTGACGCTGGTGAGGGTCTTGATCTAGGGAACTGATCTGTATCGGCCCCTTAAAATTGAGCTAAATGCTTCCATCCCCTCCCCCAAGGCGTTCAAAAAATCCCTACGGATTTAGCGTTCCCATAAAAAATAATAATAATGTGCTAGATTGGGTTGCGCTAATCCTCAGTGTCCATGTTTCTAAACAGAGTTCCAAAATGTATTACAGTTATTGTTTTTATCGTAAAAAAAGCTTTAATTTATTACAGATTAATTCTCTTGTGATCAATAATGTTTACTAAATTTAGTTGGTGTGTTTTGTGTTTTCTCATTAGTGTGTCCCTCTCATTTATGGTAATTAATGTTTGGGCTAAAGTTCTTTTATAAATGTTTTATTCTTCACTTTAAAGAAAATAGCTTTGTACTTTACTGATGATTTGTTTTAATTATTTAAAGTTTGATTTTACTGGATAACCCCATTATTATTAGTAAAGTGGATAGTAGATGTGCCAATTCAAATTTTAAATAATTATGGCATGAGATTAAAAGTGTTATGTTACAGTAAAAAAATTTACAAGCATGACATTAAACTTTAATTTTATGTAAAATACAGAAAGTTTAGAAATAATATCTCTTTGCAGCAAGTGGTGATCAAGAGTATCAAAATAGAAAACCCAAACTTCGTAGTTTATGGTTACACATCAACTGGAAATTTTATTACGCGTTTTTCGCCATTTTCAATGGCTGTCTCCATCATGTCTCAGTTACCTTGGCCCAAAGTCACCATGTCATTGGGGCATTACTTATGCGTAAGTCAACCAAAATGTTTATACTGTGTTATACTGAACTGTTTATTCTGGTTCTGAAAGAAAAAAAATTTGCCAAATAAAGTTCAAGTTTTTGCTGTACTAAGACGGTGTTTCTTTGACGAGTTTTATCAAAACTTGATAAAGGTTATCAATGAATATCTGTATTTTTAATATTTTATTTTTAAACATTTAAAAAACATCCCAAACCCTTTGTTCCCACTCTTTTAGTTGAAAGGGGCCCGATTCTCAAACCCGGGCCCTGCCTCTTGACTTGCCACTCCTTCAGATTCCCAGTCTTAGCCTCATGACCCTTTTTCGACCTGGTCATTCCGCTTCCCAACCACTCTGAGACTAAACAAATATTCCTAAAAATCCTGTGGCTTATTTCTAATTTCCAATGTCCAAAGTTCTTTCTCCCTCTGAAAAACAATCTTCCCTGTGTACCTTATCAATTTCCTGATTTTTTTTTATGTTTACCTGGAGTTACCGAAGGTTTCGGGGGTCAATGCCCCCGGGGCCCCGGTCTGGCCCAGGCCTCCTGGTGGATCAGCGCCTGTTCACATGCCCCCATTTTTTTTTTTTTTGTCCTGAAATGTTGTTAAATTCAAGAAGCATAAATTAATAGAGTCCTCAGGTTTTTTCTTCAACTCTATAATCATTGTTAGCCTCTTTAGATATGCTGCCATTTTGGTCACCGTATTACAGAATGGATATTAAATTCTCTGGAAAATGTACAAAGGGGGACAAAGTGATCCCATGTATCAGAAACCTTCACTATGAGGATGACTGAGGCCCTGAATTGCACTCTCCTAAAAGACGTAGATTTAGGGGGATATGATTGAGGTTATAAATGGAAGACAGGAATAAATAAAGGGGATTAAATAGTGTGCTGAAATTTTAAGCCTAGACAGGATCGCACATGGTTTTAAGTTGGAAAAATTTCCCAATTCAGGAAGGATATAGGAAAGTACGGGTTTTGGGTTTAATAGAGTTTGGTGAGGGAACAAATCCAAAGTACATTAAATAGAGGCAGAAGTTGTGTGCTTTAAAAGGTTGGATAAATACATGAGTGATGTGGGGGGTGTGATTTGGACCTGATACTTGAGCTACCGGGTCGGTTCCCGTTTCCCCTTTAAGTCAATTTTGACCTGACGGACTAGGTGGGTGCTTGGCTTAACCGTGGGAGACTTGGACTGCCCTTAACATAGGAACAGCGTTTTTTTATGTCTGCACTTTCTCTATTTTCTTAACATGCTTTTTAGTGCGGATTCATATGGTAATTGTATTTCCAACGGGCCTAACATGTTGTATAAGCGCCCAGAATAAACTTTTTTAGATGCTTCAAGGTACTCAGTTTTGCCAGGAAGCATCGTTGCAGGGGTTTGACCTGATGTGACCTTGGCAAATAGTGGACACTGCTCATCCTCTTGGAGTGAAGTCTGAACTCTGTTCCCTAGAAATTTTACCTAATTTCCAGTCTTCTGCCCCTTTCCCAATCTTTCATGCTTGAATTACTAGGATTTGAACTCGAGCAACCGCTTTCCAAGCACTTTGCATTTCCCCAGGTTCCTTTCGAGCCTTTCCTAGTCATCTGTTGTTATTTTTCGTGAGTTTTACAACGCCCAGCAATCAGGGATATTTCTGAATCCGTCCTACCTGAATGTTTTCACAAAACCAGAAACAAAACTTTTCCTCTTGAAACCCCCGCTATTTACTTTTCCCACATTTAACATTTCGTACCTGTGGAAAATTGCATTTATCTGAATGTAACTCTTTATGTACATAACAGTAATTGATAACAAAGATAATTATTATTTACCCGGGTTACATAGACAAGTAGGAATTTGGGACCCCTTTAGGTCGCAAAAATGTCCCCCTTCGATCCCTCCACTGTCATTCCACAAGTTGCTCGGGAAACTATTTAATTATCAATGAAAAATACTCACCAGGAATGCTGGTAAATATATAAATTTGTGGACTGTATATTAAATTAAAAAATAATTATAGATTACCAATACATAACAGAAAAGAATACTTAATACACCACCAATTTGACGGGGAGATTAAGGTGTATCATATCAGAAAACTCACGTCTAAATTTATGAAAATTTGGCCAGAATAAAAATAAACAGATTATCTGAGGTTCCTGGAGTGTCTTGTCAGTCGCCTATATCTCAATTATGCAGGAATGCACATCCACCAATTGCCTCCTATTTGAGGGGTGTAAACCCAATTTTAACCTCAGACACGGAAGCTGCGCGGGACGCAGGCTTTCCGTCTATACAAAAATATTATTAAATACAGTTGGCCATATTTACATTTTTAAACTACTGTATTTCGGAAAATTTTATACGTATTTCCACACTGCGGCGGGTGGATTGTTGCTAAAAAACCCTCAAATTACTCCTTCCTTTGGAAAACAATTCCACCGGTTCTGGCTTGATGGTGTTCCCCTAGTACGTCTTACTACGATTTCATTTTCCGCCATCACTTGTCAGCGTTATTTTCCATATCACTGTGTCACTTTCCCTCAGATTTTCATTTACTTTGATTGAACCCCAAATTTCCCAAAGGGGAGCAATTATTAATTGTGCGTAAACTTTCCTGGCCACGCACACAACATTTTTTGACATTCCTGACAACCCTTGTGCATTTTGGGTACTGTCAATACTCTGCCCAGAGGCCACAATGTTCGATGTTGTTCATTTGTCAATTAACAAAATGTCACTGGTTAAATGTTCTGTCGATTTACTGCCTCGTCGCACCATAAAAGTTTTCACTAGTGAAGAAGATATTCCTTACGCCACACATTAGACCATGATCAATACTTATTTAACTTTTAATTTATCACACAACCTGCTGCATCCATTGTAATTTTCATCACTTTTTCCGGATTATCTCTATAGACAGGGCAGCTTCCATTTTTTTCACATATTAGGTGAGAAGGTGTTAATACATCTGCATCAGGTTGTATCACTCATGTACGAGAGAGGCTATTATTTATCCGATCTCCCCCTCCACTAACACTGCACGGAATTCTTCCAAATTAATTTTCTTCCGTTGTAGAAATTTACGGAGACACCGCTTCACTGTCCCATCAGTCTTTCGAAACAGCCCCCCTGCCAAGGGGTTTCTAGGGTAATAAATTTCCAGGTACACCCTCCGGGGGTTAAACAGATTGAACATCGTTCTATATTTAACTCATCAATGTTGAGGCACCTGCTAAAAAATTTGTGCATATCCAAATTTTCAATCTCGGACAGGATCTCCTAGCTCAAATTTTCGAAACAGCCGTATAAACTGTTCTGCAGAAAAAGCCCTGTGCCACTTTCTAAATGAACTGCCTAGTAGCAGTACAGGTGAAAAAACTCACTTTCAGTGGAGCACCATTTGAAGTCCCTGTTAAAATTTTTGGGGACACTATAGCCCTACACCTGTTACATCAAAGGGTTTCACTATTGTACATTTTCCTTTGCATTGGTGAGGACCTGGGTACATTAGGATCTGGCATCACACGGCACATTTTACACAAGATTTAATCACCCTTTTTCACTTGCCGTCCTTGTGGAACCAGAAAGTTCCCAATAAATTTTTAAGGTATCTTTTTACCCCACCATGCATTACCATTTAGAAAAATTTAAAATTTGTTAATGATGAGTTTTGGGCAGTAAGATAGGGTGTTTTAGTATAATCCCCCAATTCAGCATTTTGTAACCACCTCTGCACCTAATACATTGTTCTCTAAATACAGCCCCAATTTCTCTATTATGGAACCTTTCACAAATTTTTTTTTTCCATCATCAGTTTAATCTCATTTCCATAGATTTCCTCCTGTAAACCCCCTTTATCCAATATTTAAGAGGATGTGAAAACTTATATGAAATATTCATCTTGTTTAGAAATTTAAACACCAATTTAGTTACATTGATTAGTTTGGGGGAAAGAAGAATCCTATTTATATCAATGGCTAAGGAAGGACAAACTATTGGAGCGGTAGTCACAGTAATTTCAACAGGAGCAATATACGCCTTTTGTACAGGCCAATTAGCTTTATTTACCAACCAGCTCGGTCCCTTTTAAACCATGATACAGCATTTTCAAATTTAGCATAAGGTAAACCTCGAGACAAAAAATCAGCTGGAAATTCTCCCCCACCAGGTATATGATTAAATGTTAACATATGCTGACCCAAACTATTATATTCTCTTGCATCTGATTAAATTTTAGCGACTCTGTTTTGTATTTCACAATTTTACTGTTTCCATTACGAATCCATTGTAAGGATACCTCATTATCAGACCAAATTACAGTGTCGCTAATATTTACCCCCTGCAACTTATTTCTTATATAATTAGGGTAATTTGACACCTACATAAATGGCTGTTAATTCCAACTGAAAGGGAAGGTACGTGATTTAATCGGAGACACTTTAGCCTTAGACATAACAAGAGAAATAACACTATTACATTGAAGGTAAGCAACTGCTCCATATGCCAATTTGAAGCTCACAAAAAAAAGTGGAGTACATTTTTCCCATTTGGATTGGCCACCTGGGGTGGAACTCCAACATTTGGAATTTTTTTCATAATCACCAATTAATTCATCCCACCTGTTAATGAATTCATCAGGTAGAATTTCATCCCAAGCACATTTAAGTTTCCATGCTTCCTGTATTTAATAATTTCCCTCTTATAGTAAGGGTAACACTAAACCTAGTGGATCAAAACATTTGGGGAAAATTCAGCAAGCAAGACCCCCTTAGTTAATTTATTGGGCATACTGTAATTATTAGGTTTTAACATTAACAAATCTCTCTCAGTATCCCAAGTTAAACCCAATACATTACTACATTTTGGCACTTCATCTCCAGGGCAATCTTTTTACTTATTTTGTCCTTTAATTTGGACGAATTACTATTCCATTCCCTCAGGGCATATTTGCACTTTGTATTATTTTATTAGCCTCTCCGTAAGTCATTAACAGTTCCTCTTCAGTTTACG